TTGATTATTGTAGCTTTATAATAAGTCTTGAAATCAGATAATGTCAGTCTTCCAAANCTGTAGCTTTATAGTAAGTCTTGAAATCAGATAATGTCAGTCTTCCAGAGTGTTTCTTCTTCAGTATTGTGTTGACTACTCTGTGCCTTTTGCCTGTCCAAATAAACTTGTGTTTATCTATTTCTATAAAATAACTTGGTGAGATTTTAATTGGGATTGCNTTGTAGCTTTATAATAAGTCTTGAAATCAGATAATGTCAGTCTTCCAAAGTGTTTCTTCTTCAGTATCGTGTTGACTACTCTGTGCCTTTTGCCTGTCCAAATAAACTTGTTTATCTATTTCTATAAAATAACTTGGTGAGATTTTAATTGGGATTGCATCAAATTTGTAAATCGCTTTGGGCAGAATTGACACCTTAACAGTAGTGCGTCTCCCTATCTATGAACATGGAATACCTGTAAATTTACTTAGATGTTCTTTGATTTCTCTCATCAGAGTTTTGTGGTTTTTAAATGTTTATCTTGCATATGTTTTGTTACATTTATACATTAGTATTTAGTATTTTGGTGCTAATATAAATGCTATTGTTTTTTTTTTTGTTTTTTAAATTAAGCCTTTCAGTTTATTTATTATTTTTTTTCCAAATTTATCTTTATTGTTGAAAATATTACAGATGTGTTTTTAATTTTAAATTCAAAATTTTTATTGCTAATATATGAATAAAAACAATTGACTTTATATATTAACTTTGTATTCTGTAACCTTGCTATTTCCACTTAATAGTCCTATAGTTGTTTGTTTATTATTTTGGATTGTTTATGTAGACAATCTTGTTGTCTGTGAACAAAGTTATTTTTAATTTTTTCCAACTCCTATTCTTTTTATTTGCTTTCCTTGTTCTGTTGAATTAGGTGCTACTTTCAGGGCAATGCTGAATAGGAATGGTGAGAGGAAACATCCTTGACTTGTTCAGCCCCAGGAGGAAAACTCTTTCTCACCATTAAGTATGCTGTTCTCTGTGGGTTTTTTATAGCTATTCTTTATTAAGTTGAGGAAGTTTCCCACTATGCATAGTTTGCTGAGTTTTTAAAAAAGTCAAATGGGTGTTGAATTTTTTCAAATGCTGTTCTGTGTCTATTGATATGACCATATAAATTTCCTTTACCTTTTTGATGTAATGGATTACATTAATCAATTTTTTACACATTTTATAATTGTCCCACAGTTCTTGGATATTTCATCCCATTTTTTTTAAATACACACCTTTTAGAGTTCTTCTAAGTTCACAGTCAAAATGTGTGGAAGGTACAGAGACGTCCCATAAACTCACAGCCCCCACACAGGGGCTCCCTCATTATCAAAACCCCACGCAGGAGTGTGGCAATCAATGAACAGGTGCCTGCAACCAGTATGTCTTCCAGTCATTGCAGAGTCTCTTTGTGAATGTTGGGGCATAGTTTTGACACAGCCAGGAAACTGATGGCTCTGACTTTGCCTTCACTTCCCGTTTGCACAAAGCTTCAAGGTCAGCCAAAGGTAAGACTCAGGGCCTTCTCTGTTTCTTCCTGAGCATGGGCACAGTCCTGAGCATGCTCTTGGTCTTCTAGATTCTCAGGACTCTGTTAGAGATTTTCAAAGCCCCCCTGAATACCTCATTACTTAGCTTATTTTTTAAAAATTTGGTTTATATTTCTGTTTTTAAATTTTATTGGGGTGACATTGGTTAATAAGATTATATCAGTTTCATGAGTACAATTCTATAGCACATCATCTGTATATTGCATTGTGTGCTCACCATCCCAAGTCAAGTCAGCTTATTTTTTTAAGCTTCTGGTCAGTTTATTGTTTCCCCCAGCTCTTATCCAATACCTCAGGCACCCGCCAGGTTAATCAATTGCCTGTAATTGTTTTTGACAAAGGCCTCCAGGAGAAGGACTTTCACATGGGTGAGTTCTGAATCAAGTAAAATACAGGCAGCTTTGCAAGTGGGGTCTTTCAGAGAACAGTTAGACAATCAAATAAAGATGATTTCCCAGGAATGAGGCTTTAAAAAGCTCTGGCCCTCTTCTGCTCTCTCTAATGGCACCCCGATGATTTGTTTTCACTGTAAATGCAAGCCGTTAATTTCCGAGGCAGCCACAAAGCTGGAGACAGGAGGATGAGACTAGTGGAAGCTAAAACACCACAAATGCCATTTTTCTTGCTGAGATTCAGCCATTTTTAAAATAAATGCTTCCTGCATTGTTAAAAACCTTTGTTTCATTTCCAGAGTGCTTAAAATTTTGATTCTGACAATTTTTTAACAGTTTTTTGTTGTTGTCTTTATGGAGTAGAGACATCAGAGTTTCTTATTCGGCCATCTTTACTATGTTACTAGAATATATTTTACATATAGTGTTATTTTGATATTCATTATACATACTATTAGAAGGGATATTACTGAAATGCGTAACTCTGGATCAAAAAGACATTTTAAAAAAAGGATCCCTTATCCTTTGGGACAGCGTGGAGGGACCTGGAGAATATTATGCTAAGCAAAATAAGCCAGTCAGAGAAAGGCAAGTGTCACTTGATCTCACTCATATGTGGAATCTAATGGACAAAATAAACTGATGAGCAAACTAGATCCAGAGACACAGAAGCATGGAACAGACTGATGAAGCTCAGATGGAAGGGGTGAGGAGGAGAGATTAACCAAAGAACTTATATGCATATACACATACATGCATAGCCCATGCATAGTCAATAGTGCGGGGAAGGCCTGGGGTTGCAGGGTGGAGGGGTCAGTGGGGGGGAAAACAAGTGGACATCTGTGATACTTTCAACAATGAGGATAAATTAAAAAAATAAAATAAAATGACTGATGAAAACAGATATTTTTAAGTTAGCAATTAGAGAAAACATAGGTTATAATGTGTTTTTGAAAAATGTTAAGTGAAGGGTGGCAGCCAGCCCCCAAGAGGTCCCCAGTGACCCTCGCCCCCTGATTTCACTCCCTGTTGCGGTTCCGTTACCTCCACTCTGACTCAGCGCTGACTCCTGTGACCCATAGAGTGCTGCGGAGGTGATGATGCCAAACTTGAGATGAGTTCATAAGATATGTGCCTCTACTGTGCTCTTGGGGGGCTGATCCTTGGCAAAGGTGGCTGCTGTGTTGTGAGGACACCAAGGGATATTTGTAAGGGCCCAGGTGGAGCACTGAATACTCTGTCAAAAGCTAGCACTAACGTGCCAGCCACGTGAGCGAGCCCCCTCAAAGGTGAATTGTGCACCAGGCCAAGCCTTCCAGTGACTGCAGCCCTGGGCAGCATCTGAGCGGGCTTTGTGATGAGCCTTTAGCCAGCTCTGCCAGGCCAGGCTGTTGCTAAATTCTTGACCGATAGAAACTGTGAGATATTAAATGTTTATGGTTTTGGGCCACTAAGTATTGGCGTGATTTGTTTCTCAGCAATTGATAGAGTAAGCAGTTGAAAACATTTATCTACAAGGAAGCAAAAACCCTCGAGAAGCAATATGTTTTAAAATATTTCCCCTGAGAAAATACCAGCCCCAGACAGAAATAAGGGCTCTTTCACATCTACTAAACTTTCAAGGTTAGGCTCAGAGCGCAGAAGGAGGTTTTTAATTGTAACTCTTCTCTATTTTCGGAAGATGGAAAAACTTCATTACCAAGATCTGAAAATGACAGAACAAGTGTAAATCATACTCTCACTTATGAATATAGATGCAAAGATTCAAAAAAATCATACTAACAAATGGAGTTTAATGGTAAGTTTTTCCAGAAACGTATTGTACCTCTGTAAAGCTATAATTTAGACCTGAAGTGCTGGCATCAGAAATAAAATATATTAATGGAAAATTATTTTTCAAGAACGCAGGAGTAGAGTACATCGAACCTAACACCAGCTATAAAATAGTCCATTCTTTCCTTACTATGTTGAAGTGTTTTAATCTATGTCACATACATGGTTGATGTGTTAATAATAAAATATATCTATATGGTACATAGATAATATTTTACAACAAATATATATTTTTTACAATTATATTTTTACATTGAAGGATATTCAATGGGCAAAGTGTAAATGTCTTTAATCTAAAAAGAGATATTAGCAATAACTGAGAAAATAAGTACGCTGGTTATAAAAGAATTGAAAAAAGATACTTAGCAATTTGGAGAAGAAATTCAAATGCCCATAGATATTTTAAAAGGTCCAATTTAGGGAGAAATACAAGTTAAAACAGCTAGAGATAATACCTGTTTTCTAACAAACTGCCAACATTTTCCAAAAAGAATAATTACCGATGTTGGGTTAGTTTGAGGAGTAAAAAGCAAAACGAAATTGGAAATTTTCCTGGAGATTAGTTAGCTAGTGCTCTGTATGGTCTGAATGTCTTAGTCTTCCCCAAATTCACATGCTGAAACCCTAAAACCCAACTTGATGGCACTGGGAGGAGGAGCCTTTGAGAAGTGATTAGGTGATGAGGGTGGAGCCCTTACAAATGGGATTAGTGCCCTTAGAGAAGACCCTCGAGCTCCCCGCCCCTTCGGCCACACGAGGACATCATGAGAAGTCTGCGGCCTGAAAGCGGCCTCACCAGGCCGTGCTCTGATCTCACTCTCCCTGCCTCCAGGACTGTGAGACATAAATGTTTGTCATTCACAAGCCACCGGCTCTGTAGTATTTTTATTATAACACCCTGAATGGACAGAGACAGCCAGACTATGTAAAAGCCTTCACATTGACCTGGAAATTTTATTTCATGCTTGAACTATGAATGTTGAAATTCTTATTATTGCTTATTTGCGCTTCCTTTAGGTAGGTCTTATTTTTAGCAAAAGAAATATACTTAAAAATCTTACAAATGTTGCTCTTCCTTTTAACTAGAAGGAAGTGAGCAGTTTGTTGTGTGGGAGTGTGAGGTTTTATATTATTTTCCCAGGAAGAATCCCAGAGCTGGTTTGGGGGTCAGCTCATCACGTTTGGAAGGTGCTACATACCTGCAGATAGCGGACCACTCGACAAACCAGATCAGGTGCCATGAAGTCGCCAGTGAATCGCCAAATGATATCTGTCAAGATGTTAACCAGTCCTGTGAAAGAGTCTAACAGAAACACACAGGTCATTACTTTCAGGCTCTTTCAAATGGGCAGCCATGCGCCGCAGCAGAAATGAATTCCTGGGAGATATTTTTCTCTGACCTATCAGGAGGCTGTTGAGGAGAAAGTAAGACGGCACAGGAGTCCCTTGGCTTTTATTACTGCAGCTGGCTGCCACTTAGGTGTCGCCACCTAGGAAGGATTCAGGTAATGACTGAAGAGGAATTGTCCTAATCACAGAGTTGGCCTTTTAAGACCCAGAAGAGAAGTTTCAAGGGGGGTTAGCCCTGTGCTAAAACAAGGGCTGTGTGAGGATCAATAAAAGGCAAATTCATTTTTGGTCAATTCATGCGTGGTCCCTACAGAAACTGGATGGGCCTTGGAGATGGCTGCAGGCTCACAGCTCAGACAGGCAGCTGCTCTGATGGTAGCTGTCAGCTTCTCAGGCACAGGACCTTCCTCTGAAGTCAAGAGCACGCATCTGGCTGCATTCAGGTGCTCAGAAAACTGAACAAAGAAACTCCACCTTCGGGGATGGAGCCAGGGCACTCAGGCCTGCATTTCTAGTGGTTTGTGTTCCTTTGCTATGCTCCTGCTAAAGAGGAATGGCAAAAGCTGAACATCACACTGCCATTTGGTGAATTACTTGAGCGAACACTGGAAAACAGTTTGTTAATGTTAGGACAGAAGGGAGGCTGGCATCTTGAGCGAGTGTGGCACATAGTAGGTGCTCAGACTATACTTGTTGAATGAATTGTCACCGTGGTTTGGAAAAGGCACCATGGCATTTCCTTTTAATTAAACCTTTTATTTTGAAATAATTAGATTCACAAGAAGCTGTGAAATCATTACCAAGAGATTTCATGTCCCTGTCACCCAGCTTACCCCAATGGTGACATCTTACGTAACTAGAGTTCGCTCCGTGGTTTAGAGAATTATTACTCTCAGTCCACACTGAGTGGGATCTCACGGGATGTTATTAAGCAGTTATTCTCTCCTTGGCAAGACTCTAAGCATTTGAAATATCTAAAGAGCATTTAATCTAACAAAAAACTACGAGATAAGTTCCCCATTTTATGAATGAATCAACCAAGTGTGTTTAGAACATTTTCTTATAGCAAGTTGGAGGGGAAGCCAGGTTTGCTACCCAGACTCCTGGATATCCGTGTTCATGCGCTTCTCCACACGACCTGTGTTTTCTTTGAACTTCTCTCCGTTTGCTTCCCCTCCCTCCCTCTTTCCTCCTTCCTTCCTTTATACTTACGTCTACCCTCTTTAATTACTTCGACTAAAGTGCAGGCATCAGTCCTCCTGTCCCCTTGGTCCTGCCCTGGTCTCTCTTTTGCCCCGTTGTATTACAGGGTCACACCACCCACAGAAGTAGCATTTATTCCTTCAGACAGCCGGGGAGGTAAATCTTCCCTTCCTCAGCCCTCATGGCGAACAGGATAGAGCCTCCCCTCTCCCCCCTCCCCAGGTTGGCATAAGCGCCTTCACCCCCTGGCCTGGCCGACCCCCAGCTGGCGGTTTCAGATCGGACACCACATCGATCGCGGTTGTGTTTTTGGACGCGCGTCCCCTCTGCTTGGAACGGCCTCCGTCCCTTTGCCAGTTGAAGGGATCTTGTCCACTGGCCCGTGTCTGGCTCTCACGGCCCCTCAGCAGCTTTCCTTGCCCACTCACACGGCACGGTCCCCCCGAAAGGCACGGGGCCCTGGGTCTCACGCCTGCCTGTCTCTTCCTCTCGGTTTCTCCGTGACTAACAATAACTAGAAGCACTGGCAAGCCCATGGGGACGACAGCAGAAGTGTCAGAGTCTGGATTAGAAACCTCATGGCAGCTCTGGGGGGTCAGAGACGGCCTCCCTGAGGTCAGCCTGAAACAGGGCCCGAGTCCTCGCTGGGATCGGATCTCATGGAATTTCAGGAGCTTTTCCCTGTGGGAATGACCTGGATGAGTGAGTAGAGCGGACACTGGAGTAACTGGGATATTCTCTCTGGGTTTACTTTTTCCTTAATTTAAAATAATGGGGGGAAACCTAAACTCATGTTTCTCTAGATCAAAGTGGCTACATGAACAGTTATAATGCACTCCAATAAAATCTCTTTTTTCCCCTGGAGCTCAGCCTCGAATAAACCCATACCTGGGAGCAGACTCTAGTGGAAATAAGCATTGTTATTTGCTGTTAAGCAAATGCTGCTCAGCCTAATCAGTAGGAAGCTATTTAGTTACCTAAGTAATCGAGTGCGTTGCTAATAAACCTTCCCTAAATGGTAACTAACAGGATCTGGGGAACAAAGGGGACCTCTAAAGGCTTAATCACGTCTATGTTATTACTCCTGCTTTAAAAACTTTATTCAGTGAAAGGTCCTAGGAAACAGTAAGTCTCAGAGAAGCCTGAATAGGCTCGCAGCAGGCTTCACTGTTCCTCTGATGCAACTGCTGGCGACGTGGGTTCCCAGTTGAGCAAGAATATGGGCGGAGGGGGGAGTGCGGAATGAAGCGGCTCCTGAGCCGAACCCTGAAGGGTCAGTAAGGCAGGGCCGCGGGAAAGGGAGCGAAGGACGCTGATTCTAGACCCAGATGACACCACGAGCAAAGCACTGGGGTGAGAAAAAGGGAGGTGAGAAACCACATGGCTCATGGGCATGAAGCAACCTCAGTCTGTTGTTGCCGAAGCCCCAAACAGGAGCGTGGGAGGGGTGAGAAACCGGCTGGAGAGACAAGATCCAGGCCTTTTGGGGCCTCGTGTGCCAGTGAAAGGGGCATTATTTTTCCTGTGTACTGTGGGAGCTGTGGAATGTTTACGAGTTTAAACACGTGTTTTGAATGGATTCATTTAGTTATGGGGGCCGGGGGTCAATTTGGTAGATCCAATACTGAAATTACCGTTATAACAGTTAGGAAACTGTAACAACCCCTCAGCTCTGCTGTTGGAGTGTGGAAGCAGCCTTAGACAGTCCTTTAGCTGAATGCACACAGCTGTGTCCCAATAAAACTTTATTTATAAAAATGGGCTTCAGGCTGGATTTGGCCCGTGGGCTGGCGTTTGCCAACCCCTGGCCCACAGATGAACCCCAAATGCCTTATTGTGATTTTTGAAGCCCTCCCGCCTCCCTCCTCAGTCTCTTTTCTCATCTGACCCCAAATTCATACTATAAAAGAAACCCTTTCAACTGTCATATTCCTACTGGCAGCTGGTTAGTTGATGGAAACACTGGTTAAAGGAAGCAGCACATATAATCACATTCAAACATTTTAACATAAAGCATAGATGTGCATTCGTGTGTCATTTCTTTAAAGCAGGGCTAAGACTTTGACTTTATTAGATGCACCTTTTTATGTGCATAAAATAATGCATCTTTTATGATTTCTAGTGTCAGCCTCTAAATTGGAGTGAGGCCTCGCAGTATCCGTGAACAATCTGAGTTGAGCCTCACCATGGGGATTTTTACCCCCTCCATTCTTTCGTAGTTGCACCCCCTGAGCTTTATTCTACCAAAGCTTCTTTAGGTGACTCAGTCAAAGAAACACAAAAACCAAAACAACAGCAACAAACTCAAGCCTTGCCCAAGCATCCAAATGAACTTTTACAGAGACAACCACTCTTCAGTGCTATTTATGTTATTTATAGAATTTCAGTGACAAGTACAATGAGCGTAAGCTGGTTGGGGAACAAACACCTCTGACTCACAGAACCCACGAGGTGGGAGCAGACATGGACGGGCCCTTTGGGGACTATCCTGCTGGTCACGGGTGTTCAGCAGCCCGTGTGTTCTGCAGAGAGAATGGAGAGTTGGTGGCCCCAGTGGGGCACTTAAGAAGAGCAGCTGAGGAGCTTCTACTGGGAACCCTTCCTGTTCCCGGGCACCCCCAGCGGCTTGCTCGCCCAGCCCCTCTCTTTGTGTTGCTCCCTTCACTTGGAGGTTCTTTGTACGTCTCTACCCGAGATATCCCCTAACTCCTCTAGGCTGAGTTCAAGGTTACCTCTTTAATGAAGCCTGTTTTGATTACTGAGTTTGGCTGATTCCCTCCTCTGGGCCTCTCCCTACCATACTATCAAAGTACCTATAACACAGTGACACATCTTATTTTTTCGTATCCCTCTCTGATTCCACTGTACTATGGGTGGATACAGGTGATTTATATTCACCCCATGCCTCCGGATCCTCGCATTGTCTTATGACACAGTAAGAGCTCGGTAACTTTGTTAGGTGGACTATGTTCTGCTGCTGCTGCATTGGCGGAATTGGTTTCCCGGAGCAGACTGGGCCACATGACCATCTTCTCCCAAGTGGACTAAGACAATGGTCACAGAATCAAGATGCTGAAAGGAAGGCCATGACTGGGAACTTTGCTCCCCAAGCAGATTTCTAGAAGAGCTCTCTGGATTCTAGGGTCTCTGTGGGATTGTAAGCTCCTAATTGGCAGCGACTGTGCCTGACTCATGTTCACAGGCTCATCCCTTTTCTCAGGGTCACGCAAGATGCTCTTAATGCTTGCTAGATAAAGGAGGAAATGTTGGCCTCCTCAACAGATTGGCAAACTTCTTGAAAATACAAGGCCGCTGGTGTAGGACTCACCCTGCACAGAGAGCAAGCTGAAGACCATTTCTGAGATTCCTAGGTGCTCTCGGTTGATATTTCAACTTTTCCACACAGAGCAGAACTGTAGAAATAATGAACACCCAGCAATCCGAGTAGCTCTTTTTCTCGGTAAACGAGTAGCACATGAACATTTATGGCACTAGATAGGGGGCTATTGAATGCAAACAGAGTTTTTATGGTGACATTGACATCTCTAATAATATAAGATCATTTTAGCTCTGACTGTAGTGTTACGGCTGAGAGGCACTCTGGTTTTCCTGGAGGGACACTGTGGGTAGCAACAATGTCAACTGCGAATCTCCAGAGTATATAATGCTGCCAGCTCAACTCATTGTCTCCAGTGATGGTTTTGCTTTTAAAGCAAGGGAGGTGATAACAGCTTGTTTGCCTGCAGCTGC